ACCAGAGATGCTCAGGGCTGTGCTCAGCATCACTCCACAGCAACTGCAGCCCTGAGCACTGGGCTCTGCTTCTTGGGCAGGTAAAGGGGTTCTGGGATGCAGCTGTGCAGGGAAATGGAGCTGATGTGCCCCAGCTTCTTCCCTGTGAGGGTGCTGAGGCGCTGGCACAGGGTGCCCAGAGAAGCTGTGGCTGCCCCATCCCTGGCAGTGTTCAAGGGCAGGTCGGACACAGGGGCTTGGAGCAAGCTGCTCTAGTGGAAGGTGTTGGAACTGGAGGAGCTTTAAGGTCCCTTCCAACAGAGACCCCTCCATGATCCAACCTGGCAGCATGCAGCCCCTGGGGCAAACTCACCCTTCAGTCCCCTCCTGCTCCCTCCCAAAGCAGGAGGGCTGTGGGGACAAGCCACGGGCTGAGGTAGCAGGTTGGGACCTCGTATGTGGTGACTCCTGTTGGCTCTGCTGGGGCCCAGCCTGGCTCTTACCACAGTGACGAGATGTGTGCGCATGGCAGAGCCGCTGGTCAGCCCTGGACCATGGACCAGGGCAAGATAAGCCCAACGCACAGCCAGGAGGCCATCCCATCTCCACCGGGCACAGGGCAAGCTGTGGGGCTTTGGGTTATGCCCTGGAGGGGTGCAGAGCTGGGAAACACCTTGGAGTAACCATGGTGCGGACCCAAACCGCTGCCTTCTCCTGTCTCGCTGGCTCAGCAGACAGGAGCTGATCCTGCCCTGCTCTGAGCGGGGTAAACAGTGCCTGAGGTGCGCTGAAACACAGGAGCCTCAAAAGCACATGGTCCAGGGGTCAGGGCAGGCTCTGTCCCCAAAGCACACAGCTGGGAGAGGGGACACTGAGCGAGCCCCTTGTCCACCCCTGCTGCAGGGAGGGAGGGATGGAGGGAGCCTTGGGATGCCCTCGGGACACAGCAAGGTCCTTTAGCAGCCCGAGGGCCAGGTCAGGCTGAGCTGAGAAAGCCCCACAGCCCCCAGGGTGCTGCTGCTCAGCCTGGCAGAGGAGCCCCGGTACCACAGCCCCTGAGCAGGGGCACAAGGGGAGGTGCCCTGAGGTCACCTGGGGCTTTTTGACAACAAGGCCATGGGCTGCTCCTTTATCTTGTCCTCACGCCCCTATCATCAATCGTTTTTCTGGTCTGACTGCATTTCCCTGCTGCCACATCCCCAGCAAAGGGAGAAGGTGGACAAGGGGAGTGAGGAGGGCGAATGAACCCCCCACCCTGCCCCAAACATCTCTGTAGCTGGGGAACATAAACGGCATCTGGGTTGTTTGTGACCTGGAGCAGGCACAGCCCCACAGCACCCAGTGAGGCAGGGCTGCTCCAGAGCGATTGCCTGGGAAGGAGCAAGGAGGGACAATCTGGATGTGCCACCACGGCACAAGGCTGCCTCGGAGCCCTGTGTGGCGCCAGGCAGGGTTTGGTGGTGCCTGCCAGCACTAGCAGACACCCCAAGCCCTAGCACATGGTGTCCCCAGGCCTGGTCAGCCCAACCCCGCTCCCACATGTCCTCAGGGTGCATCCCGGTCCCCCAGCCCAGCAAGTCCCCATCTGCTTCCTCCTGCTCAGGCCCCAGCCAAGCAGCTACGTGCCTGTGCCCATGAGCAGGACACGGTCCCTGCATCTGCCAGCAGTGAGCAGTCCCAGCACACAAAGGGAAGAGGTGGAAGCAAACACAAGGCCTGGCAGGAAGGTGACACGGTGAGAGCTCCCGGTGAGCAGAGGATCTGGTCCCCACAACAGGGGGTATTTAGAGGCTGTTACCTCCTGGGGAGCCCCAGGAGGAGGCGGGCACGGCTGTAACAGCCCTCAGTACTCACCAACAGCTTCCCAATAAGGCAGGGCTGATGCAACAGCAGATTCCAGGCACCAGGTATCGTGCCCACACATGAGCAGGAGCCGCTGTGTCCGAGGCATCTCTCATGATGTCAGATCCCACGGCTGCTCCCTCCACTTGTGCTGCCTTCAGCACCACATCACATTGCACAAGCCGAGGCTGCAGCTTTGCAGCTGCAAGAGAGTGACATCTGTGGGTACCGAACTCCCCCTGTGCATGTCCCTGCATGCCCCAAGGAGCTCCCGGGCCATAATGCTATGGGCAGGCAGGTGTTATAAAGTGAAGGACACTGGGGGACAAGGGCGTGATGCAGGATTGGGACAGCGCTGGGACACGGCCTGTGCCAAACCTGGACGTGCCAGATGCAGCAGGATGCTGACAGGTCCTGAACTGGAGCTGCCACCTGCTGGCACTGGGACAATGGTGCCTGCCAGCCACATGGACCTGCCTGGGCACATTTGGGGTGGCCCTGAACCATGGCACTGCCTCTGTTCAGCTGCTCAGAGGAGGCTGGGGCTGGTCTGGCATTGCAGCATTGCTGGGCCATTCCCCCAGTCCTGAGACCCTGCTCTGTCCAAGGCTGCTCCAGCTCTTGCTGCTCTCCATAGGTTCTGCTGCACTGGTTTGTGCCAGCTCAGAACCTGGCTGGGAAATGCCACCTCCAAAGCCCCTCAACTTCCAGTGGCTGCTTAGGACCTGGCTGCAAAGCGGGGTGGCTCTGGTGGACTTGTGCTCCATGGGATGGGTATCCATGTGTGCCCTGTCAGCCCACGGTGGGACAGGATGCCTCGGTGCACTGGGACAGGAATCAAGTGAGGATGGGCCAGGCAGGGCCAGGCCAGAGCTGCTTTTCTGGAGCCACAGAGGGTGTGGGTTTGAGCTTGCTGGGCAACCCCAGAGCACAGCAAAGGCCCTCCTCCAGCCAAGGTTATCCCTGGTACCATCTACCTGTGCCAGCTGCATGGGAGGAAAGCCTGGAGCAAACGGCCTCCTGGGAAAGCTTCCTTCCCTTGACTTTGGGAAGCCTCAGAGCTGGGCACTAGGGAAAAACCCAGGCTGGGGGCTGCCAGCCCCAGAGCCTCCTTGCCCACCATGATCCCTTTGCTCTGCAGGACTCAGCCCCATCCCGCTTTCCAGAGGAGCCAGAAACAAAAGAGAAGGAGGGGGAAGGGCCTAAGAGAAACTTCTTCCAACTTCTGGGGAAGAGAAAAGCCCCATTCAGGCAGGAAGAACAGTGTGGAGCTGGTCACTAAGCAACCCACAGCAATGTGGCTCAGCCCAGCCAAGGAGTGCTGGGCAGGGAGAGCCCGCAGGGCCTGGGGACAGGGGACACTGGTCACCACGAGGGGCTGAGACACCCCGAGCTCCTCGGTTGTCCTCAGTGGGCTCTGGGGGCTGCCCAGCCTCCATCAGGCTCCCCCTTCACAGGGAGGCTCTTTGCTCCCCAGATCTGCTCCAAAGCCTGTGGTTTCCCATGGATTTGGGGTTCACATGGGGCTAACATCCACCATTCCCAACAGAAGCACAGTGCATTCCAGATAACTCCCTGCTCCCACGGTCACCGCAGGGCTTGCACAGGCAGAGCAGCCAAACACAGGCTACACCCTCTCCCAGATAAACTCAATTCTTCACGTAGATTATCAATGGGGGAGGTTGTCCTTTGCAAACAAGCTTAGTGAGACATGAGAAACTGCCTGGCCTCTCTGCAGCACAGGGGATAAAGGGACAAAGGAAATGAGGCCTGACAAACCCTGCTGACAAACCGTGCCCAACTGCCTCTGGGAGCCCAGGGGTCCCTGGAGACACTGCTGCCCCTGGCAGGATGCTGCGGGAAAGGAAAACCACTCACAGCCAGGGCAGGTCCACTGGGACCAGTCAATGTGCAGCTGGGCCCAGTGCAGGGCCTGAGGAGCCCAAGGAGCTGCACTGGACCTGCCTGGACACTGGGAGGGGGTTTTGCCTACACGGTATCATAGGGGAAACACCAGAGAGTCACACAGAATCCCAGCATCAGCAGGGCTGGGGGGGACCTCTGGAGATCATCCAGTGCAACCCCCTGCCAGGGCAGTACCACCCAGAGCAGGTCACACAGGAACGGGTCCAGGCAGGTTTGGAATGCTTGCAGAGACTTCACCCCCCCGGGCAGCCTGTCCTTCGTGCGTTTGCCTCCAGCATCTGATGTACTCACAGAAGAGTTGCTGGGACAAGGACAAACTTGCCAGGTTTACCCACTTCCTCAGGAGGTGTTTGTCCTGGGATAGCAAGGGGAACAAGTTGGGGATGCTCAGGTATATCCACACAAGCTGCAGAGGCGTTATCATGAACAGTCCTGCCCTTTCCTGGCTTCACCCGCCATTCTCTCAGCCTTTAAGCATCAGCTCTGGACACACTAACACAAGCCACAGGGCTACAAGGGAAAATCAGTTTGGCCCAAGTAGTGCCATTTATTTTGTCTGCACAAGCCCTTTCAGAAGCCAACATGCTGCAGCTTTGCTGACTTTAACTGAGCTCCTCTCAGCATGATGGGGACAGGGTCTCCAGGCAGCAGCAAGGATGGACAGCATCCATGCCTGGACTTGGAGAGCTCCTACCTCTCCTGGCAAAAGGACAAACACAGGGCTCCCTGCACAGCTGGGAGCCAAGTGTGCCAAAGCCCAGCCAAGCAAGGACTTGGCACATCAGGACCCAAAATTCCCCTGTTCTGCAGTGAGGGGAGGCCCAGAGCAAGTGGCACCAGGTCTGGCACCCCTGCTGCACAATGGAGAGCATTTACCTGCTCTGGAGCTGATGGGAGTGCTCCTTTGGAGGTGTCATCATGAGACTACACTGGGAAGCAGAAGTGAAACGCATCCTCTCTCATATTAGTCACCGGGAAGGATCCATCCATCCTTTCTATCTGCATGGAGTGAGAGCAGCACTCCAGGAATTAAGTCAGCCTGAGACAGGATCTGTGCACCCACTGGCTGCTGAGGGAGCTTGCTCAGACAATACACCCAGCTCCAAGACAGGCACCACTCACAGAGATGATCACCAAGAACAGAAGTAGCCCCAGCCTGAGGAGCCTCTCCTTGCAAACAGAGAAAACCTGGATGAAGATGCATTCTGTGACTCTATGACACTGGACCATATGCTAGCAAGATCCAGCATCAGCAACAGTCCTGCAGCACATCCAGCTGGGATTTCTTTGGTGGTGTGCTGCATTTTCTTGCTGTTCTCCTGGTCTGCAGCATTTGCTCATTTGTAGCAGCACTGAGAGAACAGAGGTGCTGAAGGAGACAAGTACCTTTGTGGGCATGAAATGTGCCTGGAAGCCCAGACCTAACCTTGGCTCTGGTGGTCCTCTTCTATTCCCAGAGAGGTGGTAAGATTCCCCAGGCAATGGCCCTTACCACACAATCAGGATCTCTGGTAAAGCTTCATGATGTTCTCATCGTGAAGCTTTTCCCACACCTCCTTCTCCAGGTTGAAGTCATGGTTGGTGTAGAAAACCAGACGTTTCCAGTCCCTGTCATAGTAGTGATCCGAGTACTTCTCGTGCCCCTCCGTGATGTAGCCATAGGCACTCACCTGGGAAAGACAGGGCTCACTGAGGAGAGGCAGCCAGTGGAGTACAGCACACAGCTCCCAAATGGAGAGGGAGCACAGGACAGGTGTCTTTCGGGGCTCCTCTGGGTGATGCTGCATGGGGGGGTCTAGAAGGACCAGACTACAAACACTGGCTCCAGAGGATGCAGGGTAGCTCTCAGCAGGCTGCACGTCCCCTGTGTGAACTATCTGGGGGTGTTTCTCTTCAATCTGCTCCTCCACAGCTCACAAGAACCTATATACTCTCAAGGCACGTGGTAAGCAGGGTTGGAGCCACCCTTGCTCTACCCTGTTCTCCTGCCTCCTCTTCCAGACAGCACTGAGTGCAAGAACCATCATGCCCTTACCTGATCACAGAGGTGGAGGGCAGTCAGCAGCAGGAAGGCCCCTGTTGTGGGTCTGTAGAGCCTCCAGTAGGGCTTTTCCAGTGTTTTAGATTTCAGAAACCTGCAGCAGGAGAACAGAAAGCACAGAGCAGTTGCTGGGGGTGGTGGCTCATGCCAGGCACATCTCGTCCCCTTGTGTGGCTTCTTCCCTCCCTGCAGCACTGTGGGACCATACAAGGCATTTTAGACAAGCCCACATGTGTGGGTACTGCTGCATGGGCAGTAAAGCACAAGGCCAGCCTAGAATGCTCCATCACCTGCACTGCAACGTAAGCCCTGCTCTGCCCCAGCTTTATGGAAGTGGTAGGTCTTGGGGCAGTGGGGATAAAGAGGGGGATTAAAGGATGTCCAAGCCCATTCTTAAATCTGTCTTTTGCCTTGCAGTACAGAAGTGGCTTTGAAGCTCACTAATATACCCTGCTCCCCATCCACACTGAGGGGTGAAACAAGGCATAGGAAAAGTGCAGAGGCAGGTCACAAATCCCACTAGGAGCTGTGGTGGTTTACGCCAGCAGTTTAGGAAGGCAGGAGTCCACACCAAGGCAAAAATAGCATTAGAGTCCTCTTGGCCTTGGAAAGGAAAGCAGGGAGGTGCAAGCCATCTGGCACTGCATTTGTCTTCTCTCAGAGAAGGCATAGCAGCTCTCAAGGAGACTGAAGGGTAAACACAGCCAAAGCAGGGCACCACAGGAGCTCTTCCTGCATCTCTTGGTCACGTGTGGTCCACGATTGGCAGATCTTCCAGGAGGCTTGTGAAAAGGCTTAGAGATGCAAACAACAGCCAGGGCAGGCAAATGGGATACTGAGGAAGTGCCTGTTACGGTGTTTGAGGGCACAACCAACCTCCCAAGTCAAGAACAGATCTCAGAAGAGCTCTTACAGAGCCTTCCTCCAAGGTGCTTGAGCACTGGGGAACAGGAAAGGATGGTCCTAAATTCTGGCACTTTAGCAACGCTTTCCACACCTGAAGTTGCCATTTGCATCCATTTTGGGATGCAGAAAGCCAAACTATCCCATGGCTGTTGCTTTTCTAGATGCTGTATGTCTAGCCAGCACTAACACCCCGCTGCAGCACCACAGAACTCTACCTGACTGCACCCTGGTGAAGTTTACCCCCAGCCTGCTGGGGTGGCTAAGCTGCAGTTTCAAGGGAGTGAGCTGGCAGGAGAGAGCCCAGAGATGGTGCTGGCCAGAAACAAGGCAGTGACAGAGCACATAACCCTCAGCTCACCTGTTCTTCATGTATCTGAGGAAATCAGGGTGAACCACCAGGTATCTGTCCATCGTGAAACCTTCCTCAAATCTCTCCCGGGGCCTCTGCCTAAGGACAGGAATGGGAAGACTCAGGACAAGCTCCTGTATTTCATCACAGCTGGAAAGCACCAGCCCTGATACACTTGGTGATAACAGAACCACCACAAACACTTCAGTTAGTCTCTATCATTTCACAGATCATGACCAGGCCTCCACAACCTGTGTGCATTGCAGAGGAAGAGATCAGGGAGAAGAGGCAAGAACAGAAGACAGGAATATCAAATCCATGTGCACAGGCAAGAACTGGTGAAACCAGGCCTTCATCCACAAGTAGGCCACCATGTATGGACACCAGACCAGACAACAGCATGTGTTAATCCCAGAGGACCACAAAGCTTTCTCCAAGCTCTGGCCACACATCACTGCAATCAGGGAAGGAGGTGTATTGGTTACAGCAGTGCTCAGAGGTGTGGAGAAGGAAGATACTTCTCCAGACATTAACCTGGCTTTCTCCTGGCCTGCACCTCAGCAGGGCTAAGCACTGGGGAGAGGAGAAGGGCACAACAGAGAGCTCCACACTGAAGGGTGCAGAGGTGGGGTTAGCTTGTTTTACCCGTAGTGGTTCAAGAATCCTTTCCTGATGTTCTTCTTCAGCAGAAGAGCCTTCAGCCACTCGTAGTCTCTAGCTCCCTCCAGGAAGTGAATGTATCTGACATGCTAGGAAGCAAGTGAGCATCACAAATGAGCACAAAATGAGCAACACAAGAGATACAAGCAGCACAAGAGATGTTGTTAAAAACAACAAGCAAGCAGGCATCCAGGCTCTTTGCTTCTGAGACCCACATCTTCAGCCTGCAGCTTTTAACTACCCCACAGAAGCAGAATGGAGAAAACATCTAATGTGCAGCTACTTCCACAAGCCAAAAGGATGGGGCAGGACTGACGCAGGTTCTCACTGCCAACACTCAGAGCCACACCAGTGCAGGTTCCCACTGAGCTAAAGTGTTGGCTCAGCCACTTTGCTCCTCATGCACGGCAAGATCAGAACTGAAGGCCACAGACTAACAGCATCCCATCAAAGCTGTGCATGCAGATAGCATGGACCTGACTTACTTTTCCCTGTGGGATGTTGCTGAAGCCTCTGTGTCCCAAGATCTGGAGAGAGGACACCAGGAAGTAGGCTGTGAATCCAGAAAAGGAGGTTTTTGTTCCCACATCTTTTTCGTAACCTTTGATGACAGCCCCACTCACCCTAGCCAAGGGAATCAAACAGAGAGGCCGAGTTAGTGGGTGAGCAAACCCTTGCGTCCATGTTCCTAACAGGAAAAGACAACATCAGTCTGGAATAAGAGACTGTTAAGCCCATTTTGAACTACACATCTTGATCTGAAGGAGAGCCCCTGCTTTGGAGATGGCTCTTTATGGCCTATCTGTGAATCCCAGGCTCTTCCTGTGTGTTTAGGAACTTTCCAATTCCTTTTTGGTTTTTCATCAGTCATGCTGGCACCTGAGACTCAGTGAAGTTATCCAGCACAGTTATCTGCTAGCCACAATAAGCTGGCTGTGTATCTTCTAAGAAGGAAGCCTGCCTTACCGGAAGACACAGTGATGGGAGTCAATCTCCTGGCCCATCCCGGAGTTATTCAGTATTCCTCCGTTCCCCACGACAGCACAGCTGATGCATGTTGGCTTGCTGCTGGTGCTGTTGGCCAGGAGCAGCTGCTGGTGGGGATTTGGGGGCAGCAGGGACATCACCTCCTTCACCACTAGGAAGCAAACAGTGGAGAGTTAGCATTAAGAACCTTAGGGATGGACATAGTGAAACCATCAGTTTCCACCACAAGATCCACCTAGCCTGATGCCTCTGACAGGGAGATGCTGCAAACCTGCAGCTACTTGGCATAAGGTCCCTGTTGGGAGTTTGATGGTCCCATCCTGACACATCCTGAGGGACTCACATGAATAATTCAGCTCCATGAAGCCATAGGGAGGTGCAAAATGCTCCAGGCAGTCCCATTCACTGTCACTGAAGTATCTCTTGTCTGTGAAGAGCATGATGTTGGGCAGGAAGAGACCTCGCAGCCAGTCAGACTTGGCAGCTTTGGCCTTCACTGATTCAGAGCAGGTCTTGAACAAACCAAAAAGAAAACAATAAGGACTGATTAGCAGGGAGCTGATGAAGCTGAGTGAGGACCCGTGCTTGTGGCACTGGGGGTGAGGATGGGAAAGTAGAGAAACTCCAGTGGTACATCACCCATTCCCCTGTGTTCCCATCACTGGGAACATAAGGCAAAATTTCACCATTACATCAATATTTAGCTGGTGGAAAGTCACCTACAAGGAGCTAGAGTGACTCCAGCTCTCTGAGACTTCCCTCTTGAGAACAGCAGGCCTGTGATGCTCGTGTTTTACTGGCTCTGAGCCTAACTGATGCACATTAATATAACAGGTCTATCAATATAATAGGTCTAACCTCAATACACCAAATAAAGCTAGCAGTCCCTGCTGGCAACATACCTCTCAGGGCCCTGGCCTCAGAGCACACACAAGCAAACACAAGGAGGAACATGTGAGATCAAATCACCACTATCACTGCCCTTACAGATAAGAGAAAGCGTGCAAACATCTTGTTCAGTGTCATAAATGAATCACAGAGAAGCGTGTGGCTGAGAAGGGAATCCCAGCCAGCTTCTCCTCTCTAACAAAAGGGTCTCATTGTAGCTGGCAGGAGTTAGGCTGTGAGTACAGATGAAGAGCAATCAACTCCACTTTGTAGCCTTTCTTAGACATCTTTCCTTAAAAGCTACTGCAATAGCTATTGAAAGACAAAGCAGGAGACCAAGTGGCCTCCATGCCCAGCTCAAATCCCCACCAATGGCCACACTGCATTGCCAAAGCCTTGCTGTGTGCTCCACAGCTCACCTGGGTTCTCTGCTATGGGTGAGGATGACAATTTGGTGACAGCCTGAGGAGACAGCCCTCATTCTGCCTGTCACAACAGGAGTGCAATGAGAACATTGTGGAGGGTTTCATGTTCGCACCATTTCAATTGCAGCACATTTCACATCCAGACACAGGGACATTCCCTTCCTACTCAAGCTGTACTTTGTACTGTCCAAGGCTTTGTACTACTTCTGCCTCCACAGCTAGACTGGACCAACACCAGAGGAAGCAGGGAAAAGCCTGATCATGTAGGAAATGAAGGAGGTGGGGGTGCTCCTAGTCACTTCTCTCTGCAGAATTAGACATCAGGTTCAGGAGTGAGACCCAACACGTCTGGATCCACAGACTCACTAAAGACCCTTAGTGAAAGGTCCTAATCTTCTCTCTTCCATCCTGAGGAAGGGTTTACCCCGCTGCTCAGCTGTTCTGCACACCCAGATGCTGTGCGGCCTCAGTGCTGGATGTTCTCCGCTGCCTGCTGTGAACTGCTGCCTCTCATTTCTCTGCCAGCTCCTGCTCTGCACTTCTGAGGTGGTTGCACGTGCTCTGCAGCTCATCAGATGTGAAGATGGGAACATCTGGCAGTTGATGAGCAGGATCCTGGTGACCTAATCCCACTGTGTCTACAGGCATTAACACTGGGCAGGAGGGGTGAGGTACTGTCGCATGTGGCATACATACTCTTAGCCATGTAATTCACCCACTCCCATTTGTGGGTGTCTCAAGACCATGAGGAGCCCAGGAAGAAGGATGCACATCCTGCACCAAAGACAGGATCATCTGCCAGGGACTCAGTGAGGCTGAGCCAGGTCACAAGCTCAGGTCTTTAACAGCCAAGTTCTGCACGTAACAGCCACAGCTCTTTGGATAACAGAGGTGTCCCTGGAGAGCTGCTCCTCTCAAGAGGCTACACTGCAGCCATCAGCAGAGGAATGGCTTGCACTGCCAAAAGGGGCAATGGGGAACAACATGAAAGCACCACAAGGGAGAGAGAACTCAAAAATGAAACATCAAACCAATAAAGCTCATACAGAACAGCTGAGAGACCGGGGTGGGGGGGAGGTTTAGTCTGGAGAAGAGAAGGCTCAGAGGGGACCTGATGGCTCCCTACAAGTGCCTGACAGGAGGATGGAGCCAGGAGGGGCTGGGCTCTGCTCCCAAGGAACAAGGGATGGGACAAGAGGAAACGGCCTCAAGCTGCACCAGGGCAGGTTTGGATGGAGCTGAGGAACAATTCCTGCCCCAGAGGGTGCTCAGGCATTGGAACAGGGCAGGGCTGCAGTCACCGTCCCTGCAAGTGTTCACACACCGTGGGTTAGGGGTGGCCTTGGCAGGGCTGGGGTAAGGGTTGGACCTGATGAGCTTAAAGGGCTTTTCCAACCCCACTGATTCTGTGATTCTAGGATCCACATGTGTCCAGGGCATGCTGGGATTGGGGAATGGGATTAAACTTTTAAGAGTAGCCCTTGCTCCACCGTCAGAGGTCTGAGCAGAACGCCATGGTGCCTGCAGCCCTGACAGTCCCCTGGAGCAACATCTACATTGCCCCCAGTGCCACCACAATAACACATGGCAATGCTGGAAGATGGTGGCACTGAGACTTTAAAAAGGGAAATGACTCATCTAAAACCACTGAGCTAGAACAGGCGCTCCTGTCTTCTGCTCACCAGCCTACACCCTCCCTCCTCTCTGAGCACAAGCAGTGTGTAAAGGCCATTTACACCCATGTATAAAGACCCTCCTCACTCTAAAGAGGGCTACCTGTCTGTCCAAGCCTTCCAGAAACAGGATTGCCAGGGAAAACTGCTCTGGGTAAGCATTACAAAGAATTACCAGCATAAGATGGGGCACAGAGACAGTATTGTGTACCACAACCAGCCCCGTCTGCTTGCCGAGAGCTTTGCTAGAGTTTACAACTTCCCCAAAGGCCCCTGTTCCTGGGCCTGAGTAATTATGAGATGCTCAAATTTCATTTTAAATTAGTTGCAAACCCTCATAGCTGCAAAGGAAAGGTCAAAACTATGGTCAGAATAAGAGTTGTGCAAACCAGAGCAGAAAACAGGCTTTCAATTCCACGGCTGTTAGGACAACCTGATGGTGGGCACCACGCTTACTTCTGGAAGCTCACATCAGTAATACAACCTACACAGGCAGAGGTGATCCAAAGAACAGAACAGCACTCCCAACAAACAGGATCTGTAAAGAAACTTTATAAAGCTGTAGCTGTGCAAGTGCTACTTGACAGGTACAACTGTATCATTTGAGGTTCCGTTTTACCTCTGCTGTGCTGACCAGGCCTTCAGGAACATAGAGGAGCAAAGTGGCTGAACACCAGATCTGATCTGAATTACTTGCCCTGTGGTGATGAGGATTCAGTGCATAGCAAGAAAATCCCAGATAGGAACCCAACATGCTGGGACCATCTGAGTTGTGGAGCTCTGGATGGGGAAAGAATCTGCCGGCTCGCCATGGGTGCCCACATATGGGATGGAAAAGGTGAATTGCAACAGCTGAGAAAGACTCTCCTCTTGCTGATAGTAAACCACAAGAACAGTAAAAAAAGTTACTTTTTAACCATCACTTCTCCATGGGCACACCTACACATAGTTGAATTTTTGCCAATATTGACAGAAAACATTGAAAATGGGAACTTTCCCCACCCTACTGTCTTCAAAGCAGGTAGGTACATGCTTACCAAACCTCATCTCACCCTTTTTCTTTGACCTGACCTTAAGTTTGACTTTAATACAAGTGACTAACAAAGCCTCCTGTGTCCGGGCTCACCATCACTGCCAGCATCATTATTCACAGCCCAGCCTAGCACAAGCGTCACTGCTGCAACTCTGCTGCTAAAGCTTGTGACTTGCTTTGGTGTGTATGTGCTTGGGTGAACAGGCGCAGGGGGACATTCCTACTCCTGTTCCCTCACTGTGACCCTGCTTGTTTTCTTTAGCTGGGTGGCATACACCGAAGATCAAGGCACTAAAGAACTTCTTCCTGATACCTAACCTGCACTTCCCCTGTTTCAGTTTGAACCCATCACCCCTTGTTCTATCACTCCAGTCCCTGATGAAGAGTCCCTCTCCAGCACTCTTGTAGCTCCCTTCAGACACTGGAAGCTGCTCTAAGCTCTCCACACAGCTTCTCTTCTCCATGCTGAACAGCCCCAACTTTCTCACCCTGTCTCCATACAGGAGGTGCTCCAGCCCCTGATCATCCTCATGGCCTCAGGTCTTGCTCCAACAGCTCCATATAGTGCTCCAAGTGGGGTCTCCCAAGAGCAGAGTAGAGAGGCAGGATCACCTTCTTTGACCTGCTGCTCATGCTCCTTTTGGTCTAGTGTGAGGTCCCCCTGCCTGTGACAGGGGGTTGGAACTGGATGATGTTAAAGCCCTTTCCAACCCAAACCATTCTATGGTTCTGTGAAACCTGAGGACTGTAAACCTGAGTCTTCATAGGAATGCAGATGTTCAGTTTCTCAGGTGAGAAATGGGACACCTTTATGACCACTGCCATTTAGTGCCAGACACCTAACACCTACCCATAGGCATCACAAGACTGTGACACAACTCCTTAGGGTGCCACATCACAGGGAACATCTACTCTGCACTGTGTGCCTAAGCCCCCTATGCCCTTACCAAAGCATCTAAGAGTGAGATCACCTTGTAGAACCTCTAGAAGGACAGATGCACCTGATCCCCTGATGCACCTGAGCTCCAAACACGCCTGCTCAGGCTGACTTTCAAAGGAACCCCTGGAAATGTGGGCAACTGCACTAAGTTCCCATACTGCAGGATGGTGGAGGACTGCCCAGGCTGAGTCATACGTATAAAGTCTCCCCCTCTGGGTTCAAACAGCATCTACATACCAGTGAGCTGACCTACCAGCTCAGAGATCATCCTCAACTGCAATGGGCTCACATGCCCAGGGGACAAGCAGACAATGAGGTCAACGGGGAGGCACCATTCCTGATGAACACACATGGCCATCACACCTACCCATGGCAGAGATGAGTTGTCCAGCAGGTACTGGTCCTCAAAATCCCACCGTGGCTCTGACTTGAAGTCAGCAGCCCTCAGCTGCTTCTTCTCTTTCACTGCAGCAGCCTGAGGAACAGGTCTTACAGTTTCCACTGATGCAGGGGGCTCTTTTGGCATTGTTTGGTCATTGGATGTGTTTTGCTGAGCTCCCTTCACCCCAGAGGATAGTTTCACTGTTGCCTTCTCCTTGGCTCCCTCCATGCTGGGAAGTGGTTTCACCGTCATCTTTTCCTTGGCTTCTTCCATCCCTGGGGCTGGTCTCACTGTTCTTTTCTCATTGTTTTCCTGCATCCTCAGCACTATTTTCACTGTTGTCTTCTTGATTCCCTCCAACTCAGGGGCTGGTTTCACAGTCACATTCTCCCTGGCTTCTCCCACCCTGGCAACTGGTTCCATCATTTTCTTCTGCTCCTCCCTTCCTTCCCATCTTGGCATCTTCTCTAGCATGTCTTGTTTGAGCCTTGTGATGTCTCTCCCCAAAGGCACCTTTAAAAAGCTCCTGGAATTCCCATTGTCAGGATAGTTTAAATCCTGTTGCCCTTGGGTGTCCACCTGCAGCATATCTGGGGCACGCTGGAAAATGCTCAACTGCCTGAATGAAATCAAAGTAAAAGCAGACACATCACAAACAGAGCTTCCACTGACCACCAAACACCTTCCAGCCCTTTTCTGGCTCTTCACTCTGAACCCCTCTCTGTATAACCATTGCATATGACCACCCCACTTGGAGGACCTGCCCTGGCAGCTGTCATTTCTGCAGGATCCTGTATGAATTCAGTTTAATTTCCAACTTTGCCACTAAAATATTCTTCAACTTCCCACACCATCCTGGCCTGAATACCACCTATCTCCCCACTAAGCAAGTCATCAAGGCTACACACCCCTCTTCAGCACTTGGCTCATGAAGCATCCACACCGGCAGGAGCTGCAGAGCAGCACAGAAGAGCTTTGCCCTGCACTGGGCAATGTCCCCAGAGCACTGCAGGACTGTTTTGGAGCTCCCGAGTTGAGGACACGGCACACACACCATGAAGGCAGCCATCTGGCTCTCTCTGCCAGCAGAGCCAAGTGCTTCAGTGACAGAGCATGAAGATCTTCAGAATTCAGTAAAGGAAGTCTAACAAGAAGTGTTAAACTTGTTCCTTTCCCATACATCAACTTCTTGAGCATTTGGGGTTGCAAGGCACCTTTCCCTCTCCTCCTCCCCCTCAGCCAGCTAAGGCAATGGCATCACACAGCACTTGTCAGGTACGAGTCTTGAGACAGGCACTTTGAAGCTACTAAAATACACTCTGAAGCTTAAAACTGTAAAATAGCTGCATTTTCAGTGATTTCCTCTAATACCGCAGCTGCCCTGTTGCCTGATTCAGAGGCCCAGGCAGGTACAAGGATGCTATAGGAGTATAGAGCTGCCAACAGCATAAGAGCCACCTGCAACAAGCCTGGGCTGAAACCCAGGATAAAATATCAAGGCAGAAGTGATGGGGGTTTGTCCCAAACACTCATTTTTATCTGCACATGGCTGGAGGGTGGAACAGGAAAAAGGAAGGTGAACAATTGCTGCAGCTGAGCTTTTATGTACAGTAAAGCTTTTCAGGATAGATCAGCAGAGCTGTGGCAGGCTGATTTCACCCTTTGCATGATGCATTTGCTTCACAAAGCTGTGGATTGCTTCTGAGGTGATAAATGGTGGTGGGGGGAAGGCACCTCTGCAGACAGCAGGCTGCAGATAAGAGTTCAGAGTGGTACAGCATTCATTGAAGTCATTAGGAAATGATCAACTAAGAGGCTTTTAAAACTCATTTTGTATGAGATAAATACTTGAACCTTTCCAATGGGATTTCTGGAAAAAAGATGCTGTGTCAATGGCCTATCAGCTCTTCCTACATCTCCCCTATAATCATTAGCCACTTTCAAGCAAGTCTGCAGCAGTTGCTTTCTATCACAGTGCTTCATGTATAAACTTGTGTTGCTTTTTATAGTCTAAGAAGAGGAAAGATTTTATATACACAGTCTAAGGAAAAGAGACATTTGGGAAGGTAGCACAGGCAAAGCTTAAATCCCTGCATGATTTGCTGTTGTAGTTTTAAGATGATGTTTAAAATGATGGTGAAATGAAAAGGCAGAGAACCAATGAAGCAGGACAGCATGAGAAGCTACCCCCTATCCAGACTTTGTGCTGTCCCACAGGGCACTGGTTTCATCCCAGCTCTATTACACTTTAATTACAAACACTGTGCCAAACACAGAGACCAAAGTATAAAACCAAGGGGCCATCACATCCTGCAGGCAGACCCACATGGCTACACAGGACCCTGCTCTCCTGACCAGCATTTCCCTTTCAAATGGTCAAAGCAGCTCATCAAATTCCAGAGTCCAGCTGGCAAACAACTGCAGCAGCAAAATGACATTTACTGTCATTTCCCTCTCCATTTACAAAGCCTGAGGACAAATAGAGGATAAAACCGTAAAAATGCTGCTTTGTGTTTTCTACCTTACATACAAAGGCATGGAAACAGAACTGACCCACAGACAACCACATACAGCTCAATACTTAGTTGAGTTTGATATAACCTGCAAAAATAGGGACATTTCCTCTCTCTGAAACGATGGCAAAACGAAAGGGCTTCATGAACAGGCATGGTGTGCCGGCTCTTGTCCCAGCTCTGCCACTGATGGACTTTGTAACAACTCACTTCACTTCCTTACATCTCCTTCTCTCCTTCCCCCCCATCTCCCTTGTGCAGATTCTGACCTCTCCAAATCACAGAATCATAGAATGGTTAAGGTTAGAAAGGACCTTAAGATCATCCAGCCGTCCTCAACATGTAGTCTCAAGCTGCTGGGCTAAACTCATACCACCTCCAGAACAGATGCAGGTGTTCCCAGCCTCCCTCCTCAGCACCAGCCCTGAGCTCCAGCTGAAAACTAACCCTACTAAGACAAGCCAGAGGAGCTCACAGGGAGAGCTGGGACCACATGAGGGCTGGTGGGGAGGCTGGGGCTTCCAATACACAGTTCAGAGCACCAACACATGAGCCATGCCTGTGTAGGAAAAGCTCACGTATCTGCTGTGATCATGAAAGGAACATTGCTCCCTGCCAATGATGCTGGAGATGTTCTACTGCAGTCTACACTGCAATTCAATCCACATCCAGTCTTGTAGGATTTACTTGACCACTTATATAAAGAATACTATAGACACTGCTCATTTCTGCATGACATTGGTCTCCCAGTATGCAGCATGTCTGTATTTGGATAGTATAGCCGAATATATTAGTATATAGCTAAATTCGCTAAAAACCTGAAGGTATCCCACCAAATTCAATGTCCAGCAATGCAATCTGGACTAGGGCTGGATGAGGTTCTCTAGGAGTCACCAGGAAAAGCAAACACTGTGTAATGCCACAGTATGGAATCAAATCACATTAGTAAAGCAAAAGCTGCTTTCTTCAACAGCTACAACAAGAAAACACTAGAACTAGTGGTCCAGCAGAAGCAAGGTTCTGACTGTAGATCTCGCAGCACTGTGCTCTGATTGCACGCAATGATGTGGTCTGCTAAAGCAAAGTGGTCCTCTAATTCTGACCAGAAGCACAAGTTTCAGGGTAAGAAGACACAGAGACAAAGCAAGTGAGCACAGTGCTCTCTCCAGAGAGCACATATCACAAGGAAGCTGGACTCTTACCTGAAAATCCTTGTCTTTGACAAGCCAAACAAGGAACTGAAATTAGCAACGAAGATGCCAAGGTGCATTAGAACAATGAGCCAAATGAGGGCTCTGGGACCTCTAGGAAGCCTTCTCCTGAAAAACCTCATGCTGAGATGCCACAGAGCACCAGAGGCTCTGCTGCTGCCCAGAGGAGCTGCCTGGGCAGTGCTCTCCAAAGGTGTGTTGAATGATGAGGCTGGTCTTCTCCCTGGATTTCCCTCCAACAACGTGCACACCCTCTCTCTCAACATCCCCAGACACTGCACACAGATGCAACTCCTCAGATAGGACAGCAGCCTTGCACTGTTCCTGTCTATAACCCCAAGCTTATTGCAACACAGAGTGGGGAAAGAAACACTTTTCACTGCAAACAGTGGAATTCCCTATATTTTCCTCAGTGAGGTTGGTCCGGTGTAAGAAGGAAAACCTTTAGCTTTAATCTGGTGGAAGCATCACTGAGAACATTTGTGTGAATTATGGAAGTAGCCACAGTTACAGTCCAAGAAACCACCTTTCCTACCAAAAAAAAGCCCGAGGGCTCAGGAAAGATTCTAGGTATAACCACAGAGAGATGGTAATTTTCTTCTTCATGCAGTAGCTACTTGTAGCTTCAACCCAGAAGCAATCCCTGCCCCCAGGCTGATAGCTAGATGCACATCGATTTTAGCTTGTGATTGCTTTGAAGTAAATTGAAACCCTTGAAAATCCACCATAGAACAGAAGAGTTTGTGTTTAACAATGCTTGGGTAAAGCATTAGAGGACAGGGCTCAGAGTCAAGCAGTCTCCCCTCTCTAATAAAGCTGACCTGCCTTTAGGGCAACTGGATAAGATTCAATCCAGTATTTCACTTGTCTGAAAAGTGCCAACTCCATCACAATCAAAGCGTGCTATTGCTGACAAACTTGTTACACAGGCCTGCCTGCAGCTCAGGTTCCCAAGCGGAATCTGCTCTGAGCTGTGTGTACCCACAGCAGCAACACACCCTCTTCAGCAGCTCTTCTGTTTCAGCTCCTGGTCAAGCAGCCTCCAATACCAACACTAGGGATGATCATTTACTTTTGGCTTTGAACCATCCCATCATTTCACAGGGACCACTGAGTGGGCAGGAAATGACAGTTATGTCAGTTCACTGCTCAAACAGGACCTGCGTGGATTTGAGTGTGGCTAAGAACTACATCACCCTGGAGGCTCCCACAGAACAGCCCCTTGGAATTCAACTGGTTTCAAAGGAGCATGTAACAGACCTGAAGTTTTATTGCACATAAGATCAAAATACAGTTTGTGTCTTGTATCTGTGACTCATGCCATCATGGACAGACAGACAACTGCCTTCTACACTGCTGCCTTAGTGGGACCCTCAGCATTTGGCCTTTGTACAGTACAGCCAGGTTTTGCTCATCAGCTGTGTCAGTTAAACAAAGCCTCACTAATTCCACATGCACATGAAATGCTCCAAGGGCTTTGCATTACGCCTTACTTGAGCCATGAGCATATTCCAACCTGGGACATGTTGCTTCCCATTGACGTACCCCTGACAATCTCTCTTCCCATCCCAAGTTCCACAAGATGTATTTTCTCCTCTCCATGAAAACCAGTGACCTGCCTAGAGATGGATCTGTGACCGTACAGAATGCATCTCCCCAGCAGCAGAGGGAAAGAAGAGCAGAAACAAACATCACAGCCAGAGAAACACTTAGCTGTACCAGAGATGTAGTTTCACATGCTACAGCAAAGGGCTATTCTAACTCATGTGGAGCTGTGACATATTAACCCTGACATTTCAAGGGGAGATGCCCATATTGCTTCTTATATTATTGCACAGCTCTTATAAAAAATTAAACCCAGATGGTTAAGTGGGTTTAATTTTTTATACTGCTACTGAATACACAGGGAACTGAATGGAAGATGTTTGCTTTAAGTCACAGGCAAGACAGTAAATAAATTTCACACTTACCTTATACCCTTCCATGCATCACAGCAAGAGCTGCAAGGATTTCCTGTGCAAGGCTCAGCAGTAGCTGCATTTCTTTACCATCCACATTTCCTGAGAAGTTACCCTCTCTGGATTTAAGTGCAAGACATTGGTTATCAGAGAACCTTGGAGAGAAAAAGGAAAGAATAAGACAAGTTTGAAAAGCCCTTGAAGAAACACAAGGGAGGTTGCTAGTCCAGGGTACAACCCTGCCTCCATCTACAGCAAAACCTTTGACTAGTGCTCAAACTGAACCCAGCATCAAAGGAGATCTGGTGAACAACCACAGGCACTGAGATAGGGATCAGCCAAGGGACTGCCATACTCCTGGGCAGCCCCTATTAGCTCCATGCAGCTCTAGAGGTGGGATGTAGGTCTGGGTGTGCAGCACGCAAGTAGCAACTCTCTGGCCACAAGAGGCAAGGGGACAGTCTTACAGGAACAAGCATCAGTTTGAACCACTGATACACCAATGTACAGAGCAACAGCTTCAGTTTAGCCTTTCTCTTGCCAGCCCTATACACCTTCAGGCTCTCTGCTTGGAAGAAGCTGTTTGTACACAACTACAAGGTTTATTTTGTTAATTGGATCCCAAAGGGAAATTCTGGAAGCAGAAAACATTTTCCTTCAACCTCCTCCATATAACATTACTGTGAAAGCAAGACCCACAAGGGATAGCAAGATTCCTACAGCCAGGAAAAGACAGCTTGCTTTGCTTTTAAGGAACTGGGCTGGCAACTGGGGAGAACATGTCTGTAGTACTCTGTGTTCAGGAAAGCAGGAATACCCAAATCCCTGACAAGAACAGTAGCCAGAAGCAGGCTTGCTATTCAAAACACACAGCTTTGCACCCTGGTGTAAGAAAAGGAAACCTAAAATAACTCCCAAAACCAAAGCTGTCAGGTACTGGCTTTCAGTTTGTTGGAGTATTATTTCACCATCCTCCTTCCCCACTGCTGAAATCAGTCTGCGGGAGCTGAGGCAGCCAGGCCTGAGGTCAGACTGGGAAATGGGGATGCACGGTAACTCCTCAGGGGTGACCTGGTGAAAACTGAGGCCAAGAGCAGAGCTGCTCCCTTATAAAGCTCTCTAAGGAGTACGATTCCTGAGACACACAGGGCTCCGAGGCCACAGACAGGAAGATAAGCCAGGACTGCACCTCACACAGGGGTTGGCAGCCTCTCAGGGCCACAGGCCAGATGCCACCTCCTTTTCCAAAGTGAGGTTTTGTATGTTTCATTGGCAATCCTACCAGAAATCCCAGGAGATGCTGCTTCTCTCCTGGCGGAGAAACTGTGCGTTCACTGCTTCCATCACCAGTGCCCACACCAGAAGCGCTTCTATTTGTCAGTGCTGTGAAAGCCAGACCTTTGGGGTGTTTTTCTTTATGCAAACTGCACCAGGGACCATCAAGTTATCTGTTAGCTCTTTTCCATCTCCAACAATCCATTTAATTCCACGTCCACTTAACTACACCCTGGAGAGGTAAAAGGGAGATTTGCCTTTCTGTTTGTTTTGGGGTTTTTATTCATAAACAGACTTCATCTCCATGAGATTTTACACTGTGTGTGTTGTGGGTGTTGGCTGGAGCCCGGACTACGCCAGCAGTTTATCTGTGTGCAGGTTTTCCAGAGGGCTGTGGATCCAATCTTGTTTACCTGCCTGTTTCCTGTGTGCTTTCCACCTTCCCATAGCTCTGGGATCTGGAATAGGGCATCACAAGATGTTCTTAAAGTACAAATCAATCAAGCTTCACTGTAGTTCAAACTTGTCTTTCAGTGATGCCCACAACCAGTACTTGACTGGTAGCCTATGGAATAAAGAGCTGCTAAAGAAGCTGAAGGTGTTTAGACCTGCTCATGGTATTTACTTGATGATATAAGAACTGAGTTAGTTATAACTGGGAGAGAAAACGAATGACATTGCCTGCAGCACGCAACTGCTCACTGGTCATATCTGTGGCTTAGCAAAGACTTGGAAACATCAGGTTCTTGTTTTCCCCGCCCAGTTTCCAGTAGTCAGTTTCAGAAGCACATGATTTCAGGCTGGCAATCCAGGGGGAAGGAAATGACAAGAGCAACCTCAGCAACTTGTCTTGCTTTCACCAAACCTGACGGCCCAAAACCTCCTAAGCGTGCCTTAATTCCACATTTACTTGCCATTGTGCAGCAAGCCCCTTCCCTTCTGCACCAAACCCTCTTTCAAAATCACTGCACACAGTGACAGAGCATTGATGGAGTCAAAGCTCCATCACTTCTGCTGTGCTTGTAAGAATACTCAGAGTTTTGGCACAGAGAACTTTGCCAGGGGGTAGGGAGCAGCTTATTGAGCCAGCTGGTCTGTGTTCTGCCATGTCCCAGGAGAGAAAGAGACAGTGGCTTTCACAGTATCACAGTATGCTAGAGATTGGAAGGGACCTCAAGAGATCATCTAGTCCAATCCCCCTGCCGGAGCAGGAACACCTAGATAATGTTACACAGGAATGTGTCCAGGCGAGTTTTGAATGTCTCCAGGGAAGGAGACTCCACAGCCTCCCTGGGCAGCCTGTTCCAGTGTTCTGTCACCCTCTGTCACCCACCACCTTTCACGGTGGAACAGTAGCAAGCCCCTCCTGTGTCCACAAAGCAGAGCTGCAGAGAATGCAGAACTTGGGGGTTTTATCAGTGCTGGCTTGTCTGCTTTGCCACCAACCCCACCCCAGCTATTGCCTCACTAAAGAACTGCCTTGAATTTATGCTGCAGCAGCAGATAGCATGTGCCCAACCTGGAGTATTTCCCCCTGTTCCCCATGGCAACGGGACCATAGGCAGGTCCTCCAGTCAGCTCCCAGGAGCCAAGGAAGGTCCTTACCTGGAGCAATCACTAGAGGATGGGGTGGAAATGCTCTGAATTTGGCCATGTGACATCTCTGGTGACTGGAACTCGCTTTAGGCCTTCAGTCAGCACGTTCCCTACAGCTACAGGTGTTAACTCTGCAGAGTGAAGCAGAGCAAGTCTTCCATCACACTGCTTTTCTGCTTCTGGAGCTCCTCACCATTCATCCCATCCCAGTTAAGCTGCAACACTGAAGTGGCTCTGCTCCCAGCATCCCTTTCTCAGATACACAAAGCTCCCAAGACTGATGAGCCACTTCATGTAAGAGAATTAACAAAACCCCACAAAAATACACCCCCAGCAACAGTGGCTGGAAACTCATCTGGAGTTACAGAGGCTGGAAAGAACCAGGGCTCCTTTATCCTGCGTGCCTCAACAGCCTTTTGTCTCTGCATCCCAGCAGGAAGCCTAACACATCACCTGGAGCTGACAGATCGAGAGACAAGCTGACACCCCTTCAGGGCTGATATGGGTTGTGGTTTTTTTTTTTCCTCTCCTTTAAAATCTGTTTGATAGAAAGGAAGAAAATATTCTGTGCCTTGACTAGGAATCTCTCAGAGAGCTGTTCTGCCAAGAAGCAGGGCAGTGGCTGCAGACAGGGAAGGAGGCATCTCATTCAACTCATGGCTAGCTGGCCTCCCATCACAAAAGCAGCCTCTCCAGCTCCTGTCCCTGACAGCTGCCAAGGAGTAGGAGCATTCCAGGACTCTTCACTGCTCCAGAAACATAAAAATCACAAAACCCAAATCCCTCTCCATTCCACTGGCAAAAAAAAATGCAAACAGATTATCCCAGCACTTCACATCTGGCTGGAAAAATCAAGCTCTGCACATATATAAATTAGACTCACATCTGTGCAGGGGGCTACTGATTTTAGAACCAAGAGCGAAATATTTATTGCTAAAGGTCCTTCTCATACTCTTCCCATCCCTCTTGACAGCTGGCAGACAAATGTGCTGTTTGGCATCTTTGGGGTGAAAAGTGCTACAGGAATGCAAGATTTACATCTGCTTCTTGAGTGGTATAAATCATCATGTCCCCGACTTACACGTGGAAAAATGTGGCCTCACAGTGCCGTCCTCTCTGCTCCTGACTGACAGATGTGTCAGAGAAGTGCAGGCACACTTTTAGCTGCAAGAGTAACAAGGTCACAGGGTCCTGTGAGAGAAAAGATGGATTTACTGCTGAAAATCACATGCTTCTCTTCTTCTATTGCCTCCTATTTAACAGTTCTTTTCCTACTTTAGAGTCCTGTGCTCCCCCCCCCTCCTCCTCAACTACCTGAGGGAGGCTTTTGCCTTCCATGGAAAGAAGGCAAATCCTTGCCACCCCAGTTGCACAACACTTATCAACCTCATGCTGGGAAAACACCAGGGAAAGTAATTGGTGGGCAGGAGAGCAGCACACTGTACTACTGTAGTGGAAATGAGAAGTGCTTGTGCTCAGGAAGGGGCTGCCGTTCTCTCCTGGTTCCCTGGGAGCTGCTTAGCATCTGATCTAAGGCAAAGCCTTAGATCTTCAGGAGGGACACTCCTGTTGCACAGTCTCAGCTGGGGGGCCAAGAGGATCAGCCAGTTTGTGTGTAATAATGCTGTGCAATGCCATTATCCATCTCCTTCTGAGAGCTGCACTTCCTAAGGGTGGTGTCAGTCTGGCACAAAGCAGTCAAACAGGACATATGCTGTGTTTGTTCCTAGCTCTGTAGCCTGCACTTCGAGCCTTGTGTCCCTATTTTTAGTTATCAAATTAGAAGGGTCAGGCCTACAATAGGCACAGTCTAAGCTGTGCTGTTACAGGATGATATCAAATTCAGGTGGTGTTCAGCCCTTACAGATCCTTCCTCTGTAGGGGGCATTTTGCACTCACTAAGACACTACTTACTCATCTAGAATGAGATGCATTGCAGAGCCACAGCCACAAAGGCTGGAAGAGACATGTTAAAAGGCCATGTCCGGCAGCTCCAAACTTCAGTTATATCTAACCCAACCCTCTCACTCCAAACAGATGTCAGCTGAGGCTCCTCTATCTTCCAGCACTTGAGGTTTCACTCCCTTTACTCCACCCCACCTTCCAGCCTGGTCAATGTTTGAGTTCATATTTACCCCTTGATATTGTAACTGCAAAGTAAACAGAAGCCCAGTTAACTAAAATCACTAATATCTTAAGAGTAAATGCACAAAACAATCAAGAGCAAGAGGACACCAACTGCTCCATAGAAAAAGAAGGATTATGGAAAAGGACTCTTGTTTAATTGTGGGTGCTATTGTGTGAAACCATATGGTAAAGCACACTGAGAATCTAAGAGCAAACAACAAGCCCTTGGGTTTATAAACTTTATGTAATTTACCCTAAAGCACTTGCAAATCACCTGTGTTTTCTTGTTGATACCGAGAGGCAGTCACTGATGAGCGGGATGTGAGGAGCCATGCTCCAGCACCACACACTGCAGCAGACAGAAGGTCTGGGAAGAAACAGAAAGGAGACAGAGCAGTAAAAGGCAGTTAATCACATGAGAATTTAGCCAGGATGGCGCCAAGAATCCTGCTTTTGCTACACGGGTATCTTTCTGATTTCAGTTTCATCCAGACACTGGTGGCTCCACCACCACATCCTCTGAACCGGGATGGCTGAAGCCACAATGCTGCAGCAGCTCACAAGCTACTTGTCTTGCCACTGCCAAAGGGTTTCACTGTTGTTCAGGAGGTCCATCTATTAAAAACATTTGGATACATCAACTGCCCCGCCAAAACCACATTAAAATACCTACAGTTTCATGGATGGAGGTTCAGGTCTTTCCTAAAATACAGTTTCATTTGAGAATGAGCTTTACCTCACTAGTAACTCACATCTACAAAACACGCATTGATCTTGAAAGGGAAAAATACAATCGGTGGCATTTTCCTCGTGGAATTTCACATGGTTTGCTATCTAATCTAGCCTGGGAAAAAGAAAAGTCCCATCTTGTCATGTGGTTAGTCTTTGGGTTCTCTGTTATTCCGTAAAACACTTCATTGCCTGGGGACTGCAGCTCACTTGCAAGATAGCTCTTCTGGAAGGCCAGCGCCTTCAGCTGTTTACTGCTCCCTGCAGAACACTGTATTCAGCCAGCCTCTCACTTCTCTTCCTGTCAGCATTTGACAAGGTCTGGCCTTACAACTTCAAGTAAACCAGAAGACTGTAGCTCCATTTCTGCAGAAATAAACAGTGCATGCTTCATGAAAAGGCCATTCACTGCACACACCCCAGACACGAGTTTGTCTGCTATGAACTTTGAAGTGCACCAAAACAAAACTGGTATCTTGAGGCTGCCTGATCTTATGCTGTGGACTCTGCACTAGGTCTGCTCAGTCACAGATACCTGGTTTACCTGCCTGCTCCGCTGACTGCACCCAACGTGCCAAAATCAAGTCAGGTTTGAAGGTTATCAGCATTACCAGGGTTTTCTGCAGGCCAAATCGAGTCACACTCCTGCCTGCAAACCCTTGCTCACCAGTTTCATTAACTTTGTTTGGCTCACAGCAGAGTCAAGGTGATCAAATTTGGCTTCAACACTGCAAGTGGACTTGCATGAAGAGATGAGTGGAGCTGGCAAACAACAGATCATCCTTACACCATTCCTTCCTATGTCAAACATGACTTTAAATAACATAACTGGCAATACCATCAGCTAAGTGCCCCAAGGAGCACGCAGCACTCCAGCCACCTCTGTCTCCAAACCTACCTGCACACATGGCTCTCTTGTCTTAAACAGCCAAACAGAAAGTTTCCCACTGCTGACAGCAGGTTTTAAGAACAGTGGTGTGTGGGACAGTGTGTAATTCCCTTGGGATATTTTAGGGAACCATCTCATCAACCCCCTTCCCAGCACTGCCCATCTAACAGTGCAGCTGTAGGGCTGTTGAAACTGTCATGGTTTACACATAAAACAAGAGCAAAGAACTGAGGCCAAACACTCCTGGATGTTCATGGGCAGCTTGAAAGTAGCTGGGAGATTAAATTCCCCCTAAAAATTCCTCACTGTTCCTACCTCAGGGTCTCTGGGTTCATACACAGTGGTACTGCCCTTCTCCACCAAGGTCAGACAGCTCTATCCTGCCACAAGGACAGTGGATGAGACACAGGAATTCTTTATTGCAGGACAAAGAAACCAGACAACAAAGGAGAAAGAATCAGCAATACCCAACCTCCAACCTTCCTGCAGCTCTGCCTGAAACAGAAGCCTCTTTGCCCATGCCAAAAGCCAAACTTCACCACTCCAAAGTTGATTTAAGTGTGTGGGTGTGATAATTTCAGCACAGACTGCACAGAGCAAAGCTGGGCTTCTATTTTCTCCAGCCAGTTTCCACTGGTCTTTCTATTGCTAATGCCCAGGTAACACCCTGTGTAACTCATCCAATAGCTAGCTTCACAACCCAGGGGAAAAACAAACAAAACAAAGCCCATGGAAGAGGAACAGACAATATCTACCCATGCAGATCAAACCTGAAGTACGTAAACACACACGGGGGAGAACCTTTAACAAAAAGCCAAAACAAACAGAAAGTTCAGAGATCAAGGGGTGAGTACCACACACAGACCGCATCTTGGGAGGCTTTAGAAACTAGAACACCTCCAGTTTGCAGCACAGGTCTAACTTTCAGTACGAACATGAGATGCTTGGACAAGCCTAAGCAGCAATTCCAGCTCCTTGCAGATGTGTTTGCCCAGGCAGTGCTGCTTAATCACCCAGTCACATTTCCAGGAAGGCCCCCTTTAAAGGTCACAGTCATCTCCAATAGCAGCTGGCCTAGAATGCTTCTCCTCCAAAACAGCTGGGTTTTTAAATGGTCCTTGCTGACATGAAAGGATACACTCCTTATAAAGGGAGTAGCAGCTCAAGGAATTCAGGGTGACAAGAGGGGTTAGAAAGATCCTTCAACAGGGAACCACTACCTTGAGTACAAACAGTTTACAATATGAGGAGGAACTGAGGCATGAACCTGATGCTGTAACTCACCTGAAGACAGAAGTTACATGGCGGGTTTGCACCTGCACGCAACAGGCTCGCAATGGTTGTCAGCAGCATCTGCTGCAGCTGACTGGGGCTTTCTCTGCACAGCTCTCCTCTGCTACCAGAATTTGGGGTATGTAGGAGCTGGAAGGAGCTGCCAGTCAGTGCTCTGATGCTGAAAGGCACTAAAACCATCGAAGTATCACTCTCAGAAGTGACTGAACCAGTGGTGCCATCTTCACTCACCACAAACTCCCAGCTTTCCATTTCCTTAAAAAACAGCATCTCAAGTTCATTTCTACTTCCATCAATTATCAGGAGCAGAATTCCAATGACTACGTCATAGGCAGAGCTTGCAAAACAGTTTCTCACAGCGCACGAGCTATTCTTGTTTCCAATAAAAGGCTGCAACAGTGTTGACAAGGAAGACAAATGACAGAGGCAGTGATCCACAAAGTCCTCTCCTTTCTAAGGATCGATTAGATCTTTAAGACAGAGTCACAGAACAACACAATTAAAAGCTACAAGGACATTAGAACAATGTCCCATTAGTCACAAACCCTTATTTCTGATGTTATCTGATGCTATGGGAAAGCAAACCAAATTCAAACCCAAGTCCCTGCCTCTAGAAAAGTGGCTTCATCAGAGGAATGTGTCTTCTCTTCCCTCGCAATGAAGTACAACCACAGAGAGAAAACAAGGTTTTCCTCCAGTGACCCCTAGCGAGCTGACTGCACTTAACGGAGCAACCAAGATCCATCCTGCCGGTGAAATAAAGGTTAAATTGTGAGGTTGAGGGATTGAGGGAGCTTTTAAACGGATTACTTTAGAAAAACCCTGGTCCTGATCAGAAGGAATTGCTCAGGAGTTTTCCTATCTGTAGTCGGTCTTGGGAATGCTGGATAACAGGTGGATCACATCAAATCCCAGACTGGTTTGGGTTGGAAAGGACCTCAAGATCATCCAGTCCCAGTCCTGCCACGGGCAGGGACACCTCACATTAGAGCAGCTTGCTCCAAGCCCCTGTGTCCAACCTGGTCTTGAACACTGCAGGGATGGGGCAGTCACAGCTTCTCAGGGCACCCTGTGCCTGCGCCTCAGCACTCTCACAGGGAAGAGCTTCTGCCTAAGAGCTCACCTCAATCTCCCCTTTTCTGTTTAAACGTGCAGGATTCGTGCGAGATTTGCTACAGAGAAAAGGGCTGTGGGTATCCTTGATCCTCTATGAAGCAGAACTACTTGAAGCCTTCAGTCGGAGCTGCAGGACCCCTCTGCGGTTTGCACAGAGCAGCAGCACCATCCAGCGGATAAACAGGACTGGCCTTTCCTCGCCCCCCCCATCTCAGAACATGCCCTTTATAAACTTCCTTCCAATCGTGAGCACTTTGGGGCTGCATTTACATGAGCTTTGGGTAAAAAAATGTGAGCTGTGGTCAAACAGTGATAAAAAATAGCTCCAAAAAGAACCACGCTTTCTACTGTCAGCAGCAAGTAACACAGCACTGGCTCTTTCCAAGTGTTACCTCTCCTTGCACTGCAGCTGCCATCTCTTCATCACTGTAGGGGAGTTAAAACTGAGCCCAGTGGACTCATCACACCTCACCCTTGGTTTTTACCACTGGGAACAGCCTCACAGCCAGCGTGAGCACATGTGGAAGGCACACACCCCCCCTGCCACACTGCTCCCAGGTCACACAGCCAGTTTTGGACATGTGGAGGCTGTTTATGAAGCCCCTGGACGATGTTAGAGGCTGTTTTACCTCTTCCTCCAGCAGCATCCCCAATAATTTGCCTTAAAACCCAACACAATTCCCAGAGCAGATGTGACACCAGCCTCCCACAGAAAATAAACCAAATCATCCCATTTCTTTGAGGCAAACAAAGATGAACCAAACCATGTAATACCTCCTCTTTGTTGGTTTATTGTTCCCAGTGCCATGGAGCAGTTAACAAATGCCAGTGGTACACAGCATTCCCAAGAGCTGACCACACCGTGACTCACTCACTCACTACACATACGCATCCCAATGACTGCATTCCTGACCTACTTTGGGAATTAAGAAAGCATTTCAGACACATTTCCCCCCTTTCCAAAAGGGAGTGTCCCACAGCTATTCCAGAGCTGTTGGCTGGGCTCCAGTGATCACATATGGTTGATGCACAATAGATCTATTCAAAGCTTAAAGGAAAAATAATCACAAGGAATTCCATGTTTTGCTCTGTTCCCATCTTACCAAAAAGCCACACTCAAATCCACAGGACCAGCACTCCATCCCACTGCCTGAGCTTATCTTCAGGAATTCTTACCATCTAGTGCTGCTTTCATGGCAGGGGGTTGGAACTGGATGATCTTAAGGCCCTTTCCAACCCAAACTATTCTGTGATTCTATCAGTTTGAAACTCAGTCTGAACACAGGGATCAGAATCTCTCCTGCTTCCCTTGACATTTAGAGAGGACTCACAAGATCACATTCCTGGAACATGTCAAAATCAATGTAAAACCTCACCTTTGTGAAAGACGCTTCAGTCATCTTATTATGGTGAAGGAATAAACCAAACTACCACTAACTTGCCACAAACAGAAGGTGACAGACACCACTGCCCAGCTTCCTCCAGCACTGAGGTTATAGAATCATAGAATAGTTAGGGTTGGAAAAGACCTTAAAATCATCAAGTTCCAACCCCCCTGCCATGAGCAGGGACACCTCACACTAAACCATGTCACCCAAGGCTCTGTGCAACCTGGACTTGAACATCGCCAGGGATGGAGCATTCACAGCTTCCCTGGGCAACCCATTCCAGTGCCTCACCACCCTCACAGGAAAGAACTTCTTCCTTATGTCCAATCTAAACTTCCCCTGTTTAAGTTTTAACCCGTTACCCTTGTCCTATCACTACAGTCCCTAATGAAGAGTCCCTCCCCAGCATCCCTATAGGCCCCCTTCAGATACTGGAAGGCTGCTATGAGGTCTCCACGCAGCCTTCTCTTCTCCACGCTGAACAGCCCCAACTTCCTCAGCCTCCCTTCATACGGGAGGAGCTCCAGTCCCCTGATCATCCTCATGGCCCTTCTCTGAACTTGTTCCAACAGTTCCATGTCCTTTTTATGTTGAGTACATTGGAACTGCACACAATGCTCCAGGTGAGGTCTCACAAGAGCAAAGAGGCAGGATCACCTCCTTCGACCTGCTGGTCACACTCCTTTTGATCCAGCCCAGCATATGGTTGGTTTCTGGCCTGCAAGCACACACTGAAGCTGGCTCATGTTCATTTTCTCATCAACCAACACCTCCAAGTCCTTCTCTGCAGGGCTGCTCTGAATCTCTTATGTTGGTCAGACAACTGCCAGAGAAGCGCAGGTTAGAAAAGGGCTTTAGGAAGATTTCTCTCTGTGGCCTTTATACAGTGCTTATGTGTATCAAAAGGTGACTGACCACCAGGAGTGTGCGTGGTAACCAAGGTGATGCCTTCTTAAACCAGGAGATGCTTTTGCTACACATTCACTACATAAATTCCCTACAGCATCCACCCACCGCTACTTTCAGAACCAGTTATTGCATTCCCCACAGGAAGCTATCATCTAAACCAGACTGCTATCTACAACAGGGGTTTTGAACTTGGCTTGCACCACTCTCATGGGAGTAAACCAAATCTATTATAAACTCAAAGACTGGGGATTTAATTCCCTGTCAAATGCATCTAGCCTGGATACAGTGATTTAAAGATATGAGGGAGGGACAGGAAGGAGCAGGGGGTTTAGTGTTGTAGCTCCATAGAAACTCCTATGTGTTCTCTTCCGGTGGGTATTATTGAGGAGTTTTGCCTTTGATTCATTCTCAGAAATGTCCCTGAGGAATTTATCCAAAATATTTGACACAGTTTGGAAAAAAACCCAAACAACCAACCCCGTAACTCCCCTGAGCAGCACAGAAGGCAACACGAGATGGAAAATAACCTTGTAAATGCAAAAACCAGAGAGGTTTGCGGCAGGTATGGGGCCATGCTCTTTCCCATTTCCACCTATTCCCGTTTCCTTCAAGGGGCAGTGGACATTTTCCTTCCCCAGCCACCACCTCCTCCACTACTAAAGCTCCCTAAGTAAATTATTCTGGTTTTCCTTAGACCTGGATCTCTGGTGCTCAAATGAGAAACACATCCAGGAACACAAGAGGATGCAGAACAAAATGCTCTTATTCTCAGAGCTGCTCACGATCAGATGCAGACAAAACCATCTGTTGCTCACCTGCAGGTTTAAGAGCGATTGTGTGACTGCAGTCACACTGAAGCACGCTTCATGGGCTGTCAGAACACACATAAATAAGAGCACCAGAGATAACGCGACTGCAAAGTACCTTGACAAAGACGGAGGGTGACCCGTTCCTGCCGGGCACGGCAGTGAGGGCAGCAGCACACACTCCATGGGCCTTTGGGCACTCCTGGAGGGACGTTTTAAGACTCATCACCCGGGGTGCCAGCACAGGCGCATCCCAAACCCACCCCCGAACCCAGGGTCACCTCATCTCACTGCACCCACTCCGAGCCCACTGAACCCAACACCCCGACTTCAGTGCCTGTGAGGGAAGCTAAAAACTACCCCAGCTCACGGCGCCCAACCCGCGCCCGCCGCCATCTTAGGTGAGGCGAAGCGAGACCCCCTCCTCACGCAGCTGAGGCCGCACACAGTGCGCATGCGCACGGCGCGCACCCGCGCTCGCCCCACCTACCCACCCCAGCCTCAGCGGGCTACGGCGGCCGAATGGGAGCAAACCACCGTGTTCCGCGTTCTTTACGGGTGCCTAGCGTGGACACGAGTGTCCGATCGCGGCCAGCGCGGGTTGCCATGGCAGCGGCTCCATCGCAGGGCCTCGCAGCCGCAGGGCCCCGCAGCGCCCGCGGCCGCTCACAGGAGGTGCGAATCGCTGTGGGAGGCCATGGGGGGATGATTGGGGATCCTCCCGCCCCTGTTTGTGGCCCCAGGTGTTGTCCAGGGAGGGAAAGGTCTCGCCCAGTGTGTGTCCCCCCCCCCGTCCCGCTCTGGGGCTGTGTTCGTGCAACCGCTTCTGCACCCCGCGGGAGGCCAGCGTTAAGTGAACCACAACACCCGGAGGGGGGATCCTGCTGGAGCAAGGGGTGGAATTTCCTGTGTAAATATTTAAGA